GGCCAACACTCTATCCACTGAGCCAAACCGGCCAGGGCCAGGACTTCATTTTTTAAATTTATTAATTTATTTTTATTATTTTTTTTCTATTTTGAAAGTATCACGCATGTCCCCCTTTTTCCAGCATTGACCTCCTCCAGCTCACCCCACCACCTGCCAGGGATCCATTTTTAAAGGATAGAAATCCTCCAACGTTGAGAGGCTGGGAAACAGGACTTTTGCACAGGAACTGATGGGAAGCTGAGTGAAATGTGTGGATTCAGGAAGGCAGGTGTGTGCTGTTACAGGGACAGCAGGTTTGAGACAGAGTCTGCGGCCACAGTGTCCAGCCCAGCCTCTCCTGCCTCATCACTTGTATACGTTCGAGTTTTATGGAAGATCTGACAGATGAAAACAACATGGAGAGTCTTTAAGTCTTAAAATAAAAATATCATTCCAATGCAAATTCTTATTCCAAAATCCAAGAAAGGCAACATGGCCCACGGCAGGTGAAGGAGAGCGAGAGGAAGCCCAACCACCCGCCTCTGGATGCAGCACCCCTGGGTCCTCTTCAAAACCCCAAGGATGGAGGACTTTCAATCCTGGAGGGTGCCCCCAAAGGCATGGGGTCAGGGTGACTGGGTCTCAGGAAAGGAAGAGCGAGGGTGGGTCAGGATGGGACACCTTGTGGCCAGCATTCTTGAGTCCTTTCCCATCTGGGGTTGCCCTGAGGATGACAAGGTCAGGCATGCAGCCCAGGGTCCCAGCTGCACCCTTATATCCAGACCCCATGCAAATGGGGCTTGCCTCCTGCTCATAAAAGAGGGCCCTGGCCCACAGGCTGGGGAGACACCCAGAACCCAAGTGCCTGAGACAGGAACCCAGCGGCTCCACCATGGACTTGGTGCCAAGCTGTGTTTTCCTCCTGATCATTCTTCAAGGTCATTCTCAGGAGATGGGAGCACTGAGATCTGTGCCTGTGCCTGATTTTGCTTCCATGTGATTCTAAGTCCACCTTGTGTCTCTGTGTTTGCAGGTGTCCAGTGTGAGGTGCAGCTGGTGGAGTCTGGGGGAGGCTTGGTGCAGCCTGGGGGGTCTCTGAGACTCTCCTGTGCAGCCTCTGGATTCACCTTCAGTGACTATGAAATGGACTGGGTCCGCCAGGCTCCAGGGAAGGGACTGGAGTGGGTCTCAGGCATTACTAATACAGGTGGAAGCACACACTATTCCAACTCTGTGAAGGGCCCATTCACCATCTCCAGAGACAACGCCAAGAACACGCTGTATCTGCAAATGAACAGCCTGAGAGCCCAGGACAAGGCGGTGTATTACTGTACAGCAGACACACAGTGAAGGGCATTCAGTGTGAGCCCAGACACAAACCTCCCTGATGGAGGCAGCAGGACTGGGCTGCAGGGGGCACTCAGTCCACGAGGGGGCGCTCAGCACCAGCAAAACCAGGTCCTGGCTCAGAAGATGTCCCTGGAGGGGTTGTGAGGGCTTCCTATTAGGGTCAATGCTTTCTTCCCTCCTGCTGTCCCTGGGGCAGCTCCTGCTTCCTTCTTTGAGGCTTGAATTAGACTCTCTGCCGGAAAAAAAAGTAGGATGTGGCTGTGTTTCAGATCTGGTCAACTTCTCATCTGTGCCCTTCCTGTCACCATGTCCCTGATGATCTGCTCTCTGGGTTGACAAGGAAAACATTCTAGGGATGCCTGACCCCCTCACTGAGATTCCCCACCTTCCACACAGTGCTGAGCTGGGAACAGAGTCCATGCCCCAAACCTCACCTTAAGGTGATCAGCCCTTTGCTCTGCCCCTGGAGGAGCCCTTTGGGGCAGTTAGCTGCTTGATTCTCACTGACATGGCTGCATATAGAGGTTTAGGGTCCAACCCCTGTGTGTGCTCCTGGCTCAGTGAACCTGGGAGGCGGACCTAAGGCTCAGGGTGTCCTGGGATGAAAGCAGGAAGGAGGCCCAGTGACAGGGCCTGTCACAGCCCTGCTGGGCCCGGTTCCCCTTATGTCTCCAGAACCCTGTCCCCGAGGACACATCCCAACACCTGTCCCGCTTCCCCTAGAGAATCCACCTGGATACTGAGAACCTGCTGAAGGAGACATGGTCCCCTCCCACCTCTGCTGTGCCACTAGGCTCCGCAGACACCACCCCATCCTCACCCTCTGTCCTCTGCCGCCCGCATTCTCACCTCATCAGGCCTGCACAGGACATCCCGTGTGGCTGCGCTCTGCCCTCTCCTTCCTGCCCTGGTAGGTTTTTCCTTAAATGCACCCCCACAACATCCCCTCATTCCCATCTCCTGTGCCAGTCCCTCCCTGAGATGCCAGGGCCAGGGCCACTCCGGCGGCATGAAGCCAGCCTCAGCCACCCGGCTGAGCCCGTTACAGAATTTACCAGGTGACCGAAAAATACACAGGAGTACTTGGAGGTCCAGGATAAACCCATTGATCTTCAGATGTTTCACATGTACTAGTACAGGGACTCAGGGGGGTCAGTTCTCCAAATCCTGAGTAAACCAATATGGAGGAAGCCCTCTCTTTATACCCTTTGGTTTCTTTGTCCCCCAAATATGGGTAGGACTTCCGGACCTTTAGTGGGCTTTGCAAAAAGTCCCGTGTGTTTGGATGGGGACTGTGAGACCTAAAGGCCTGGCCTGGCACCAGCGCTGATAACCACCTCCAGGGGTTGTCTATTGTTCATGGTTAATGGCCTCTGTAAAATGTGAGTATTTAGGTAAACGGGTCTTGCAATACTAGATAATTAAGAAAGGGGCAGCGACTAGACTATAGGCTAACAGGAAATCGAATTAGGGATACTGACTAACTAGTTAGAGTCAGGCTGCTGGTCACCCCCCACCGCCCCCCAAAAATTCTTATTTTCTTCATCAAGCCCACGTGTGATGTCAGGCTGTGGGGGCCCCACCTGTGTCAGGTGTAAACACAGCTGAACACTGACCTTAGAGCACCTCCAACAGCTCACACCTGTGCTAAGGGAACCTCCTGGGGGGCCGTGAGCTGCTGAGCATCATGATGGACAAGGCTGTGAAAACTGGAGTCAGAGGTCAGTCAGGGAAGGGCTGGTACCTGGTCACCTATAATGTTGCCAACATCCCACTGACCAGAGCCCAGGTACACAGGGAGTTCTGTGAATCCTAAAAGTAGGGGAACTGTAGCGGTCAAGCGGAATAAAGTTAACTAGAAGAGGACGTTCTGCCAGGAAAAGGCGGGAGCCTGCAAGCAGGCCACGTCAGAACAAAGTCTTGCAAGCAAGACTTATTGTTCAGAGGCAGAACTTTCCTTGAGGTGATAAATA